ATAACAATAAGGTAAATGCTGGGCGCTGTTCACAACAATGAAACAGAAAACAAAAAACATATATAAACTCTGTAATTAAGTTAAAGCTTGATACTCGTATGCATGAATTTATGATTTTTGGGTTATGATGAACTATGAGATGGCGAGGGTGACGGCCTAGAAGGCGGTTCCTCAATCTGGGCTGGTGATGGTTGAGGTAAGGGCGCAGCAGCTAAAGGATGCTGCTCTTCAGGGGCTAGCTGTTGTTGCTGCTGTTGTTGTTGCTGCTGTTGTTGCTGTTGTTGCTGCTGTTGCTGCATGAGCTGAGGCTGCGGCTGTGATGGTGGGGCGATGACGACTTGAGCTACAGTTTGAGGAGAGCTGCCTCTCGATCCTGGTCCCAAAGGTCGGGTCTGGGACAGAAGTTGTCGTTTGACAGTTACACCAGTAGCTGAAAAGGAAACTGATGGTTCCGGGTTGTGAGAAAATAAATAATCATGAAAATAACTCGTATGAGTTGCACCTAAAAAACACAGGTGAATGAACTGCGTAGAGGCGAAAAAAAATTGAAGGAATTGAGTTAGTGGGGAATCAGGAATGATTACCTTCTGAAAACGGTGAAGGATGTCGTACTCCAGGTGCTCCGGATGTCATCAGTGTGGCTCCACCGGGTTGTCCACCCTGCTGCATTGGAAGGGGCTGTGACGAACTTGACGCCGGTACGCCACTGGGTGCCATAACAACATTCATTATTCGGGTCCCTTGAGGAGTAAATCCTCTCCTGGAAGGGTACCACAATCAAACAAGCTCCCAAGACTGCAGTAAGACAAAAAATCAAAAAAAAACTTACGGTACTGCACGAATCTGATGCGGTTGTCCCGACCTAGCGGGTACCATCACCGCTGTCATCTTAAAAGGCAAATAGACTTTAATTGCCCATAGGCACGTGAATGAGATGTAGAAATCAATTGTAGAAGATACTTACCGGGGATTTTTGTCCTATGGTTCGCTTCTGTGGTGGTAATCTCTGCGTGGAGACCATACGAATTTGCTGTTGCGGTACGACATACGGTCGTTCACCTGCTTGTGGAGCTGGTTGAACAAACATTCGAGGAGCAGTTGGCTAAACGAGTTGAAATTGAGTTACATAACCTTGACGAACAAGATAATTACATGACCAACGTTTCGGTAACAGAGCTGCAAAAAACTTACTCGTTGCATGACTCTTCCCCTCTGTGGCCCACCTACGGCAGCAGTTCCTGGTTGGAAAATAGTGCTATTACCCGGTACCGTTTGCACATTTGCCATATAGCCTCCCTGCATCTACAACTTACAACATAAGTGAGACAAAATAATAACAAAAAATGAGAATAATGACCCTGCTTAGCGAAGGCGTTGACGGAGGTGTCCGCTTTGCTTGGGATGAATTCGCAATCGACCGATAAACAGGTTGGGCTGCTTGCCCAAGGGTAATACCGTCAGTCGTACGCGTAACAAACTTCAAAACAAAATAACGAATATTAAAGC